TTCATTAACCGCCTGCATTGAGAAAGCGCCTGGTAACCATATGTGAGCTATTCTGCTTAGAAGAAGAGTGGGGTATGGACAGAATAAATAAATGAATGAGATGGGATCCTACATACTAAAGTACTATTCTGCCAAAATAAATTTGCTAGCCTTTCAGATGCAAATGACTGTGCTGTTTTTGCAACAATTCCCACTGTTCTGGAATTTATACATTCTGTGGTTTATAATACTACAGTACTAAGACAGTAATGTCTCATGTTAATATGCTTAAAAACATTGAGGGTTTTGGACACAAACCACCAAATTTTCTTTGTTAACAATATCAGAAACTAAGTCTTCTGAACCTTTGCAAAAAGCTTTTATACAGTTTCGATTATTAACAATATATATTTAAAAAGTCCTTCAATGTTAAATAAGTGACATAAAACACTTAAAAAAAACATTACATTGAGCAAAACTCAATGTAGTATGATTGCTATTGGGTAACACATCATCGGTTACATCTTTCAGAATAACTTGGAACCTTACTTTATTACAACTCTTATAAACCCCCAGTGACCATTTCCACTTTCAGTCTCCCAAAGTAATTCTTCCAAGTTGTGAATTTCATCTCACATTCTATTTAGGGTGGCAGGACCGAGAGAAGGGCCAAGAGCAGGAGCTCCTCAGCCGATCTTAATGCCCTAACTGGCTCATAAAGGGAGATGCATTCAGATAGGTAACCCTTTAGGGTTTTATAGGCTAAAGCCAGCACTTTGAATTGTGTTCGGTAGCAAATTGGCAGCCAGTGGAGATGGCTCAGCAGGGAAGTTGTATGCTCCCCAGGGTATCACTCCAGTTAGAAACCTGGCTGCTGCTTCTGAGAATGACCCTCTAGGAATGACTGGAGCCACTATAAGACAGTGCCCCCAAGCCCCATATCCATGAGATGTCTCAGAAGGATACCGTGGTCTACAATATTGAAGGCCACTGAGAGGTCCAAGAGAGCCAACAGGGACACACTCCCTCTGTCCAATTCCCTGCATAGATCATCCACCAAGGAGACCAAGGTTATTTCAGTTTCATGACATGGCCTAAAGCCTGACTGTGACAGATCTTGATAATCAGTTTCTTCCAAGAACACCTGGAGTTGTGAGATCACCACATGTCCCAAGACTTTTCCCAAAAAGGGGAGATTAGAAACTGAATGAAAGTTGTTCAGTTGAGTGAGATCCAGTGATGGTTTTTCAACAAGAGTTTCATTACACCCTATTCTAAAAGACCATAATACTTTTAATAAGAATAAAAGCAGCAACTGCACTGATACTAAGGGCAAACACAAAACCCAATAAATAGATGAAGCACAGAAGAAGTAAGTTTCTTCCAAGATATGTCTCAGTCAAGGTATGTCAGAAGAGAATTCTGGTTTAAAGCTAATAATCTAAATACAGTCAGTTCTCCACATCTGTGACTTTTACTTTTATGGATTTTATCATTTGCAGATTTGATTAAAATATTCTTTCTTGCAATTCTTAGATCCTCCAGTGTAACTCAATGGTCAACTTCCATCAGAAGTGGAAGGACTAGAGATTTCCACAGAGGTGTTCTCTCAGGTAAAGTCTTATTCATGTTTCCCCCACTTTTGCAAGAATCTTGCACTTCTTATTCCAGTGAATATGGAGATTTGACTGCAATATCTAAAGAGAAACTTGCAGTGGGCTTCATATAAAATAAATTATCATTCATATATTTTTCTTTCAATTTGGGTCAATGCCTGTACATATTTTCCTCAATTCTTTGGCCTCCTACTCACTATAAAGTCTCTGTAGTCTACCTAATTGTGATATTAGTTACCCTATGTGTGATCATAGAATCATAGAATTAGAGGGGAGCTCAAGAGTCATCCAGTACAACCCACTGCAGGAATCCACTGAGAGATGGCATTCAACCAGTTATTCCATTGCTTTCCTTCTGCACCTCTCCAGTTTGCCTGCACAACAGTAAGAAATCTTTAATTCCATAAAGCAAACACCTCAGGAAGTAGCAGAGGACATGTAAAAAAATGCCGTTACTTGCCACCTAGCAACCTGTCCCAGAAATCACCTTATCTAGATTATATACACCCAGCAAAGCACAAGAACAAACCCAATTTCCCTGGAAATTACACAGCAAAAAGTGAATGTTGGTATACATTGTTGGTATTGTTGAATGTTGGTATTGTATTAAAGCTTAAAAGAAGTGCTTTCACTGCTAAAGGGATGATACCTTATGTGTCAATTCTTTCTGTGGCTGCATATGGGGCCCTTAGACACAATGGAAGCAGGAGTAGTATCTTAAGTGGGTGTTGAGCAGGCTGTGATGGGATAGTCCTGTATTCTGTGATGCTGAAGTATCCTCTAAGAACTGCATCATTTTTATGGAGAATCCAAAAAAGTGCTCTTTAAGGCTATAATTTCCAAAATCTAGCAGACATCCTGTCTGGGAGTTCTGGCAGTTGTAGTCCATAAAGTAACATTTACAAGCTCCAGTTTTAGATGAATATACTTTAATAACTTCTCTGTGAAATGCATTTTTTGCTTCTTTAGTTTGGACAAAAACGATGCTGTTCTCCAGTAATTTAAACATCCTGAGGAATTCCACACATTCAGGTGGGAATATCTTGTGTCATCAACTAATACCTAGAACTAAAATGTTATTCCCACCTGCAGTTATGGAATGCCACAGGCCATACAGCTTACTGACAAAAAGTATCCTCTTACTAGAAGTTAGATATTTTTGTGGTGTTTGTACAGAATATTATGGTGTGGCTGAGATTTATCTAACCTAAAATACATTAAGTATTGCCACAAAATGAGAGCAAATGGTAATGCACCGAAGCCTACAACCTGTAAAAATAATACTCCTAGTGCTAATCACCAGTAATGGTTGAGACAGACCACAGGTATGAATGGATGAATCTCGTCTTACATTAATATGATGTATTGCCCATCCTTGTGTGTGTGTGTGTGGGGGGGGGGGGGGCKGGTGGTTTGTAGATATAAATTATAGATCCATGGGAAATGAAAAATCAGAATATTATATATGATAACAAGTTTGTATGAATTCAGAGAGGAATTTGACCTTTGACAATTTCTTCATAAAATGATGCAACCCATACCTCTTGGTGTTACATATTCAACAGAGTTTGCACTTCATAGAGGAAAAGTGTGGAATTTTGCACTTTCTGGAGTTTTGTGATGGAGGTTTCGGGAGTATAAAATGTAATTAAATGTGCATTTTCCATTAAGGATTTTTAAAATATGTATTTAAACTTCTAAAACACCATCAGTATGTGGCCAAGATTTCAACAGATAGATAGATAGATAGATAGATAGATAGATAGATAGATAGATAGATATTAATAGGCAAGAAGACAACAATCGAAGGCTTTCATGGCTGGAATCACTGGGTTGTTGTAGGTTTTTTTCGGGCTATATGGCCATGTTCTAGAGGCATTTCTCCTGACGTTTCGCCTGCATCTATGGCAAGCATCCTCAGAGTGAGGTCTGTTGGAACTAGGAAAAAGGGTTTATATATCTGTGGAATGACCAGGGTGAGACAAAGACTTTTGTCAGTTGGGCTAGGTGTGAATATTTCAACTGACCACCTTGATTAGCATACAATGGGCTGACTGTGCCTGGAGCAAACTCTTCTTGAAAGGTAATTAGATGTCCCTGCCTGTTTCCTCTCTGCTGTTTTTGCTGTTGCAATTTTAGAATTTTTTAATACTGGTAGCCAGATCTTGTTCATTTTCATGGTTTCCTCCTTTCTGTTGAAATTGTCCACATGTTTGTGCATTTCAATGGCTTCTCTGTGTAGCCCAACATGGTGGTTGTGAGAGTGAAGATCCACCCCGAGGAAAAGTGTTCTTGCCATACATCAAGGGAACCACTGACGCATAGGGAAGCTGATGAGGAAACACAACATACGAACCACCTACAGACCTACTAAGAAAATCCAGCAAATGCTACGTTCAGCAAAGGACAAGAGGGATCCTCTCACCTCTGCAGGAGTCTACCGTGTACCATGCAGCTGTGGACAAGTCTACATAAGGACCACCAAACGCAGCGCCCAGACACGCATCAAGGAACATGAAAGGCACTGCAAACTACTCCAACCAGAGAAATCAGCCATAGCAGAGCACCTGATGAACCAACCTGGACACAGCATATTATTTGAGAACACAGAAATGCTGGACCACTCTCACAACCACCATGTCAGGCTACACAGAGAAGCCATTGAAATACACAAACATGTGGACAATTTCAACAGAAAGGAGGAAACCATGAAAATGAACAAGATCTGGCTACCAGTATTAAAAAATTCTAAAATTGCAACAGCAAAAACAGCAGAGAGGAAACAGGCAGGGACATCTAATTACCTTTCAAGAAGAGTTTGCTCCAGGCACAGTCAGCCCATTGTATGCTAATCAAGGTAGTCAGTTGAAATATTCACACCTAGCCCAACTGACAAAAGTCCTTTGTCTCACTCTGGTCATTCCACAGATATATAAACCCTTTTTACCTAGTTCCAACAGGCCTCACCTCTGAGGATGCTTGCCATAGATGCAGGCGAAACGTCAGGAGAAATGCCTCTAGAACATGGCCATATAGTCCGAAAAAACCCACAAGAACTAAGCCAGGAGATGTTACAGCTTCCAGTATGCTTTTACTTGCTCTTACTGGAAAGAGCAAGATTTCAACTCTTCTCTTGCCTTCCTTAGTGAGTTGAGTGCAAACTACTTTTGCACTTCAAATACAGTTTGCAACGAATGAAGTAAGCTCAGGATAAAGGTGGGAAATGGGAAGAAGAGTGAGAAATTGGAATGTTTTAAAACCAGCTGAAAAATAAGGAAACAGAAGAATAACTGGGACTTGCCCTGAAAAATCAGAATAGTGCCTGCATCTTAAAGTGCAGGTTCACTGAGCTGGTAGAACAGGTATAATTACTCTAGTGGGAGAAAATATTATAAATATCCTTACCTGCTCCAACAACTTTATCAATGGCTATGCTGGAAGAATCGAGTTCTTTGGCAAATTCATGGACAGCTTGACTGGGATCTTCATATGTATGTGGATCCACATAAGTTCTAAGGCCAGGGAGTTTTACTGTTTAAAAAGAAACCCAGAAAGAGAAATTTAACTTCAGTAAACAAGAATGGTGAATGAATGATAGCAAAAAGTGGATCATAAGGAACTAAAGCTAGGAATTGACAGTATATTTCTGCTGGACTCTAAACTTTGCCACTAGAAACAAAAAAGGAGTGGTTTTTTTTCTCACTCATCTAGTTTCCTATAACCATTAAAACTGTTCTAGAAAACTGAGAAATCTTTTGGAACTGGTTTTCTGTTTCTGAAGGTGAGTCAATACAGGCCAGTAAATCCAGAGCCTAGAGGAAGCCATACATACTGTTCCAAACCCATGGAGAGACAGAATCCACATGATCCAGACAGGTCTTACCATCTGTGACACCATCATTGTTACTGGGCTCCATGTTAACTACTGGCTATCACAGTTGTACCTTCAAGACCAGTATAACAAGGGACAGTCACTGAACATAATACATCAAGTATCAACCACACTTAGAGTTGGAAGAGACCTCATGGGCCATCCAGTCCAACCGCCTGTCAAGAAGCAGGAAAATTGAATTCAAATCATCCCTGACAAATGGCCATCCAGCCTCTGTTGGAACATACATACATATCTCCTCCCTTGTTAGACTTGATTTTTCCCTCCTTAAATGACATGGTAGGAAATATATATCTTGTTAGTCTCATGCACAAGTGTGATTGATATTGATATATTGGGTTGAATGACTGTCCCTTGTAACACTATTAGAGTCTGTATCTTGGTCTCAATACTTGGAATGCTCCTGACCTGGCCACTTGAATGCATCATAGTAGAGTACATCTCAATAGTGTTCCTAAATTTATTAAATTCTTGGTGTGAATATTTAGCTAAAGTAGACAAGGGTTGGTCCACTGTGGTGTGTCTAGGGACCAATTTTCTATTCCAGTGTCCTCCTGGCCTGGCATTACCTGCCAATAAATACAGAAGGGGACAGAAGAAAATACCTGGTTTAACATTTTTTTTTAAATGTGAAAGAGTGTATGGCTAATCTGCAATCTAAAGGTGGATTGCTGAAGTCCACAGAACACGTGATTCACACCCCATTTTTATGGGGAAAAAATGGTTAGCATCTTATTTTTGACCATTAATGTTTGAAACAAGTTGCTAAATTAAATGAATAAGGGATGGGAAAATCTATCAGTTTTTGTCTAGCATTTGAATGTTTTCACATTTCAAGTTCTGTCCAGAAAAAAGAACAAGAAATCTGTAAATTTATCAAGCATTTTTTTTCAACTGCATTGGAAATACATTCAGTACTCTTCCCCAAATAGAAAATAACATATTTGATATGTAACAGACCAGAAATATCTTTTAAAAATGTTCACACCTTATTCAAATCTAATATGGCTGAACACAAAAGATTCCCAATCAGATATTTAAAGGTTTAAAACTCAACGCTCTGGAGCTAGACAGATGAATTCTCATTTTTACTTTCTTTTAATTTTTAAAACCCTCATGTTCTTTCCATCCTAAATATGAAGACATTTTCATATTCTGGTATCTTTTTTATCAAAACAACTTGTAATAAGGTTCTCATCCATTCTAAAATGAACCTTTGTTCTGACTCAGCAAAAAAATTTCATTCTTCCCCTAGCTTTTCTATTCAAGATTTGGGAGAGTTTATTAAACCATAGGTCTAAATTTGATTAACGAAGTATTTAATGAAACAACAAGAAAGTATTTCTTAACTTCTAATAAACATCTTTTCAGCATGCTACCAAGAACAGAGAGAATGTGTGTTTGCCCCCTGTAATATGTTGGTGCTGACCGTGTTTTCTATTGGACTCTGATTGGTTAAGAAATATGTCACAATAAAACAAACAAGAGCAGTAGTTAAAACGTGCACACATAAGAATAGTGTACTGCTATAGGTTTAAGATCTCATAAATGTTCCCTGTGATTCATGTTGGGCTACATGGTCCAGACACCATCCTGCCCTTTGTTAATAAAACAAATTGAAAAGAAAATACCAATTTAAAGCCTTTGTAGAGTCAGTACTTTTACTCCTGAATTTTTCTTTTTTGTCCCCAAAGGTTATGCATTATCAGCTGATTAGAGATTGTGAAGAGAACCATCTGTTCACAGTAACTACTAACAATCTATATAGTAAGTAGACTGTCATGACCAGCAGATAATAAACACATGTGCATGTGTAAAGCTACACCACTTTACAGCTCCTTCTGTGCAAGCATCATTATTTCCATTTCCATTTCCATTTCTCTATCATGAATCGCCCTACGGGTAGTAAAGGAGTAGAAAGGTTTCGGCCAGATGTGGGCAAACAGAGATGGTCTGAGGAGGTAAAATGTATTTCTGCTTCTTTGAAGTGATATTATAGGATTTGAAATAAGGCTGCAGGGAACCGTTCACAGCTAAGGCCTTTTCTCCAGAAATCCAGAATCAACAGTGAAATAAACCAGCTGCTACAGGCTGAAGTAGAGAAAGTTTATTGTAGTCCTAGAAGTACAAGGAGTTATTTTATCCCACTGCTGCACACCCAGGAGCCCCTTGCATGCAGTGTTTACTGCTACTTGTGCTTCACCAACTTAGTCCAGATGAAGGCCAAGTATTCGGGTTTATACTACTTTGGTGGTGATTTAGGGGAAACCTACTGGTCTTGAATGACCAGTAGTAGCTACAAAAACAACAGACAAAAAATAGGGCTGAAAGATCACTGGGCCTTTACTATCCTTTACCATTGGCTATGTTGTGTGGAGACAATTGCACTATGGACAAAAATATAAAGAGATTTGAAGGTTCCCCAACCCTGCCTTAAATGTTAGCTGTTAAATCAATAATGTGGATAATAAGTGTTTGATGTGTGATAAAACCAGCATAGTGATTTTGTTTGCTGTGTACTAATCTTGTTGTGTTTCGAATAATAATAATCTTTTATTTATAGCCCATTACAATCTCCCAGAGGGACCCAGGTCAGCTCACAAAACACTCAAGGTTTGACATGCAAAATACAAGTGCAAAACAAAACATACAAGTAGACAATAAATAATCAACACAACATCATAAATTCACAGTACCCCTGGTAAAAAAACAATAAAATACAACAATTGTTGTAGATAAAACAACAGTATTTGATCTCAGAAGTAGAAACTGCTAATAAAAAAATCTAAAGGTCCTCATATATATTATTAGAAAGTCTAAACATGGTCAAAAGCTTGTCGGAAAAGATTTTTAATTGTGTGAGGAAGGTTTGGAGGGTGAGGGCTAGCGTGATCTCCCTCAGAAGGGATTCCAAAGCTGGGGCGTCACCAGCTCTCTCCCATCCCCATCAACCACACTTGAGACTGAGGTGGGACTGAGAGGGGGGCCTCCATGGTGGAGCTTAAAGCCTGTGCTGGTTCATAGAAGGAAGTGCAGTCTCAAAAACAGGTTGGACTCGAAGTCTTCACTTCAGTTCACTTCACTTTATTTCTTAATTAGTCGCTCTCCACCAAGGTGCTCCGAGCAACTTACAATTTAAAATAGCATTTCACAATATAAAAACATTCAACATAAAAACATTCAACAGTGACTATTTGGCAAATTAGATCTGATTACTTAAATGCACAACCAAACAGCCAAGTCTTGAGCGCTTTTACAAAAGGTTGCAACTCCGACATTGCTCTAACAAAAGGAGGCAATGAGTTCCACAGAATTGGAGCATAGATCGAAAAAGCTCTACGCCTTGTAGTTATGGATAGCTCTGGGATATGTCCTGTTAAATCCTAAAGCAGGACAGAATGTAGGTATATGTGTTCAATCATCTTTTTAAAAGGAAAAAAAGAACTTTTTAAAACAAGGTAAAGCAGATTATTTACATTGCACCAGGAATCACTTCACCTGTTTCAAATGCCAGGTGTTACTTCAGGAGCAGATATAATAATAATAAAGGAACAATCTCTGACTGTGTTCAGAGTTGGTTTCTTTTGGCACCTAATAGTCTAACAATGGCGTCTGATATTAGACTTTGATTTCCATGGATATTTGAGGAAACCTCTTTTAATAAACATGTTTTTCCTTCTTGGAACAAAATTAACTTCATGTGTAAATCAAGAATTGTTCAGTCACCAATCTGTTGCTACAGGGACAGAGTATTTAATATTTATAAGTAATGAAAAGAGAATTCAACTTAAAAAAGTTAAAATATTTGGGAAATATTATTGGAAGTTTTAGCTATACATTCAGTAAATGATCACATTTTTTCCAGAGGAGATCTGAAATTGTTTGATATTATAGTCAGAGCATTATTGTAGAACACAAGAGCAGAAAACAACTGGCCAAATCCACAGAAATGTAACTACTGTGACTAATTCAGAAATAGTGACTGTGACATTACAGTGTATAGGAGCTGAGAGAACATTTTTGACCTGTTATTTATCCATGACACTTTTAATATGGCTGTTTCTGTTTTATAACCTAATTAAATTTGAATAATGAAGACCTTGTGAAGGGGGGCACATATTTCCTCAGTGGATAGCTAAGTCCAGTGTGTTAACCGTTGGTGAATGGTCTTAAGTAGCTTCATATCACAGCTTGTACCCTTGCAATAAAGAAAGTGCAGGCACATTCCAAAGGGAAAAGGCTGCAGAGGGGTGGGTGTGTGTGTGTGTGGGGGGGATATTTCAGTCGCCCCAATAGAATTGTAATTAAGCAGAGGTCTCAATTTCAGTGGTCTGTGAAAGCTGCATATAAGGGACTGCTGATGTTAACTCTAATATGACTTTCAAATAGTATAAATAAAACTCATAAGCAATCTTTCTTATGATTCAAAACAATGGGAATGTATGGCGGCTATATTTATCTCAAGCATTTCACACCAGCCTCTGAGTTCCAGAACATTCTGGGGCAGGGTGCCCACATTTATCCAGATTGACATGGCATGAGCTTCTCCTCCATGACAGATGGAAGAAAACAACAGACTGTGCCCCATGTGTGTGCTATTGGTGGTATTTGGTATAAAGCAAAGGTGGGGGGGGGGGCTCATCCTCCTCATGAGAGATATAGAAAACCAAACCACAAACAGTCAATCAGGGTTGAAGGCATGTTTCCTGTTCCACATTTCAAGCAGTGATGTCTAGAATAAAGGGCATTAGAAAGGGAATATGGTGAAATATGTTGTATCAAGCAATCTATTTTTTAGACTGAGTGGCAAGAACTGATGGAAATACTGCTCAGCTCAGTGTTTTCTCTCTCTCCTCACAAATTCTTCAAACTAGCCTTTACATTTCTTCAGTGTGGTATCTGATTAGACCACATTAACTCCACCTAAATGAAAAACCCAGAGGCACAGCAGCATATGACACCCAGTTCACATCCTAGTAGAGGGATGTCCACAAACAAGGCAAGCATTTAAGAACATGAGACAGAAAATTACAACATCTACCCACATCATCAATTTTACCACCTTCCTTCAATACAAACTTGATAAATAAATGTGTTATTCCTGCTTCTTGGCAGGGGGTTGGACTGGATGGCCCATGAGGTCTCTTCCAATTCTTTGATTCTATGACCTTCTGTGACACCCCCGAATTTGTAGTCTGAGTCAATTGCATCACTTTGTGTATTGATAGGACTGACCTTGTGTAGTGTATAGGATTAGGATGCAGCATTACATGTGAAATACTGAATAGATGCCAAAAATTAAAGCAGCTCTCATCTCCATTTCAGGGAGAGGGCACCTGTTTGGACAAAAGTGAGCTTAATAGTGATATCATCTGTTCAAGAATGGATGCTGGCATGCAGCAATATTCACGGGCATGTATTTCATGCATGCAGATTGGTCCTCAAGTTACGAGAGTCAAGATTAGAAATGTGACTTGATCACCATGTTTTTATATTGCTCACCACAGGGGATAGGTAGGCTGCCAAAAATGTCCTTTGCTGGACTCAATGAGATTCATTTTTTTCCACATAAGAAAACAGTCTTGTACTATAATGCATCATTTGTTGTTGCACGGTAAGGGGTCACAGCACAGGGACCAGCTGTTGAGACTTGTTAGTGAGAAACATTGCTTGGCCTTCTATGATACCAGAAAACAAGGGCATGCTCAGCGGGCAGTCCTATTTTGAGAAACTGTTCCCAAGTTGACTGAGAACAGTTCAGATCAGGCTTATTAGTGGATGATTTATTCTGAAGGACATATTTTTCTTGACTCTCAAACACCTGTCATGAAATGAAAACAACATTTATAACAACTAGAAACCTGGAATGCAGTTTTGACAAATAGCTGTAAGGTTGTATCCAATATTAGTTTTACATTAGTGGAAACTTCTTTCATGCACAGATGTTGGGATGTTCTTATTGATGCTCCCTTCCCTTTTACATTCCCAAACTCATCCCAGCATCCACATGAAAAGCTGCTTCTGAAGGTTTACATGCAAATGCAGTGGAATTTTATTCCAAGGAAAACTCGAATTACTTCCTCCTTGTTGTCCCTCTGGTACCTTGAAAGGTCTATTTTATTTAGGTGGGCTTTTAACAACTGTTTCATTGCAAATATACAGGTGGGTGCTGTACACTGATATGCTTTTACATTGCTTTCAATTCAACTGACTTGTAATATCATATGTTGTTTGTTGTGAAACTGAGTTCAATTTATGGTTACCCTATGAATGAGAGCCCAAGGCATCAGTCATCCTGCTTAGGCCTTGCAAACTCAAGACCATGGCTTACTTCATTTTATCAATCCACTTGTAGTGTGGTTTTCCTATTTTTCTATTGTCCTTCACTTTAATGAGTATTACTGTGTTTTCCAATAAGTCACATCACCTCATGATACATTCAAAGTGTGACAGTCTTTGTTTAGCCAACTTGACTAATATCATTAAAATAATGTATATCCTACTTTCTTTTCTTAACAAGACTAAAATAATTTCTTTAAATCTGTTTTAATGAAATAACTTTGTGCCTTTATTTGTACTTATGTTTTAAAAATATTGTTGAGATTCCCTAAAAGGTGGGTGATAAATAAAACCAAAATGAATAAATAAATACATTTGGAAAAGTGGTATACTATGCAAAGAAGTACAGTGGACAGTATCAGTGAAAAAAGGTCACTGCCAAGTGACCATAAGGATCTTCTGATGGTGATGAGTGACTCATGCAGCAATTGTGTTGACCAGCATTTCCAGATTGTGTTGACCAGCATTTCCCAGCAAGTGTAGCTCATGTTGAGAAATGCTGAGTTGCAGTACAATATTTGGAGGGCCATGTGATTCCCGAGGCTGTTCTAAGGCAAAAGCACCCTTAGCTACAAGTTATTTAGATGATCATATACAAAATATCTTTATCAGTCTGTCTCATTTTTATGCCTACTCCAGTATTTTCATCTAAAGAATTAAATGTAACGTTGTTTTAATTGATTTGCTCCCAATATGATTTGCTTGTACATGTAAAAACAAATAAAATATTATGGAGATATCTTAACTTGCCAGTGCTCTTATCTAATGAAACCAGCTACTTCATCAGATGCCCAGTGGCAGAAGGAGGTGGTGATCCGCTTCGCCACAAGGCATGAGGAATCTGGCACCCCATGCCTTGCATCACCTCTCTCACTGGAAGGGCAATCACATGGGAAGAAGCGTGGAGCGGCTTCCCACCATAGATTGGACAACATGGGAAGCATCCTGTGTTGCCAGGGTGGTGGTGGCAGCATGCTGGTTCCTCCCCTCTACATCCATGGAGCCAGCACATCGTTTGATGGGAGTTCTGTGGGTGACTGGGGCTAAATCAATGTTTGCCAGGAATCTAGCCCTGTATGATGAGTTCATAATACAGAAATCCTAACTGGCTAGTGGCTACACTAGACAAGCTAAATTTTGTGACCTCCTAGCCTAAAAGTATTAGGTGATACTTCAGATTATCCTATGCTAAAATTATGATTAAAATTATGCTATTTTTGTTCCAGCATTATTGCTATGTGTCTAGGCTATAGATTGTTTTTTTATTCTTCTACCAACATATATTAGCAAGCAGAGCAGTTCTGCTGACAAACTGAGATCTGTTAGGAGATCTCTGAGATCTGTGTCTAACATACATATGATTGTGTCTTATTTAAAACAACTTCATAACTTTGAGGTAACATTATGCTATAAATGTCTAATCTTGAATATACTTACAAGATATTAATCCCAATGAAAATAGTGGAACCTAGCTCTAATTAAACACAATTAAGTGAGAGTTAGAAATATTAGTGTTACCTTGAAACTTTGCATGATTTGAAAAAGCATACGTTTAAATTTCTTGTTTAGCGTGTTATAATTTACCAATCTCACATGTAGCTGAAATGAAATACATCCTATGTTCTTTTCCATGTGTGGTACTAAAGATGAGAACACAAAATTGAAGACAAAGATGGTGTGAGGCAGTAGTATTTCTTTTTGCAACAAAGAGCTTGAGCTCATTTCCTGTATCATAACGCAACCTTATTTACAATGACAGAGACATTTGATTAATGATTTTTTAAAAAATATATATCTTAGTATAAGTTTCTGTAACTTACAATGTCCATTACCAAAGTAGAGTCTCTTCTCATCAACTCCATGTTTTGATTTACTGTGTCCACAGAACCTACAAGTAATAAAAGGCAAAAACATCAGAAATCCAACTTTTTATGCACTGCTTGCACATAAAAACAGAATGAAATGTTTTCCCTGAACAATTAAGTACTTGTTGGAAATTTTAGTACCGTTTATGTTCTCTGAACCCTACAGGCTGCAATATGTTCTGAGGGAATTTGAGGAAATTGGCTAATGAGACTATATGTTGATTTTTGACCCTTCTAGTTTAGTTTTACAGTTGCCTGAGAATGTGTTTATAGCTCTTTTTAACAAGTTCTGGAGGGCTTGTGCTACTATTGTTAGCAGCCTCATTACTATGTGTAGTTCTGCCATGACTTCCTGCTCTTGGGGGTGAGCAGGAGATGAAACCCAGCCATTAGCAAGTGAGGGATCAGTCAATCTCCAGTCTGTATCAATTTCTCACATATTTACTCCTTCTCATTTCTGTCTACTAATCTGTGATTTTTAAAAAATAGAAGGCTGAGCAAAATAATCATATTTAAATACATCTTTCTGAATACATTTTTCACAAAAGTAGATATTTCAAAATATGTTGTCAAATACAGTACACTCGTATATTTGCAGAACTGATTTATCTATGTTTACATTTATTCAAATAGAGCTTCCCTTAAAGACTATACCCTCTTCTCAGTACCTCCACAATTTATTCCATTGAAATTAATAATAGGATTCATTATTATCTGTGGCTTCATATGAAGTTCAGGAATGCATTCCCTGAAAATATGGGGGTTCTACTGTAAAGATTTCCAAATCCATTTTATCTTAAAGTCTACATACGTTGTTTTGTTTTTATGGGAGCTTGTGTGAATGAGAAATAAAAATACAAAAAAAATCAGTGATGACTGAACAGTAAAATCTGAAGCTGTATTGCCTATCCACACATTATTAGAAAAGTTTGTATCAGATCTGTTTTGCTTCAAAATGCAGACTGAACAAAATCCTTACATATTGCCACTCCCAAATCTTGGTGACACTAAGGAAGCACTGAAGCAATGGAAATAGATGCATAAAACATATGATGAACTAACCTCCCAATCAGAATATAAACGACAATTGTTAGCAGAATAATTGCTACTGCAGCTGAAACAGCAATCATGACAACCTGGCTATTCTCACTGGAGATGGAGAAAGCTGGAAATGAAAAGGAAAGAAGTATGAGTGAAACAAAGCAAAGCACATTCAGTATATCAATACAGACAAATGAATGCAATGGATAAGGGCAAGCCATTACAGTATCACTTTACTCTTAAGAATGATGTCTTGTTGCAGTTTGTAAATAATAAGAGGATTGTGTGTATGTGCTCAAGTCACTTGTCAATTTATGGCATCTCCATGGATTCCTGAGGGTTTTCTTAGGCAAAGATTACTCAAAGCCCTTTCAGAGAGGTCCTGCATCCCAGGATGTGATTGCAGGTTTTCTGCTTTAAACTGGATTATATGAGTCCTCACTGCCAAATAATCTGGGATAAACAGAAAACCTGGGATTAGATCCTGGGATATAGGGCCTGTCTGGAAGGGCCTTCAGAGGTAGTTTGGCTAGTTCTTTCCTCTAAATATAGCTTATAGGGCCTGATGTTCATTGGTAGTCTCCCATACAAGTACTAGGGTTGACCCTGCTTAAATTCCAAGATCAGCTGTCATCTGGTACAATTAAGACAGGCATTCTCAAACTGCGGTCCCCCAGCTGTTTTGGCCTCCCATTGCCAGAAGCCATAGCCAGCTTGTTCAATGGTCAGGAATTCTGGGAGTTGGATACCAAAATAGCTGGAGGGTTACAGTTTGAGGATGCCTGCTTCAAGGTATTTAGATTACATAGGAAACATTCCTATGTATTTGTTTAACAGGTAGAGTAGCCATGGAAAAGGGAAGTATTGAGTTCGATTTGGTATTGTCCATTCATATACCAGAGTTTACTGTTAGATTGAATTTAGATTAACATTTGCATGCTTACACTCACAAATTGCTAGGTCATATGTTACTCTTAAGATGCTTGTGTACAATATTATTTATAGGGGCTTCCTGTTTCTTTGAGATTTTGTCACACATCCACTCCCTTCCTGTGTCACTCAAACCTGAAAATGTTATCTTCTTTCTATCTCTCCTCATGTGTTCAATTATGTATATGTTTTTGTAAGTAAATATGGTTTTATATATTGTACAAAGAATGCTAAGCCTGTTTTCTTTTCTCTGCTAGACTGGTGTTTGTGCAGTTAGGTGTGGGTAAGGCTATGTGTTTTAGCTTGGAACTGGTTGTTATTCAGCTTCTGCCTTGTCAAGGCATTACTATCTGAAAAATACAGTATAATCCCTCACAGTTTCCAACACTAACCTGGCTTTTCCTCCTTGGAAAGTCAGCAGAACACAAGGAGGGAAAAGCTCTTATTGTGCTGAAAATACTGTTTTAATACATGCAAAAGAAATCTTTAGACTCAAACTGTGCTGCTTCTGCTGATTTTTCCAATAAATTAAAATTAAATTACAGACTTTTTAAGATACAGAAATGAAGTATTCTATATTAAACTATGTCATGATTTGCAGCTTTATTCAGAGCTTTCACACCAAAGCACCATCAAGGATGGTCAAAAGGAAGCAATGCTATTGATACAAAAGAGATTTATTGGTGTTTGGTGGATATAACAGTTATCATGGATACTTAGTTTTAAAATTCTGATTTTATACATGCTTAATCTTGCCCTGTTTATGTTTATAGTTTCAAACCTTTGCAACAACTATGTCAGCTTCATATGCTAACATTTTTTTTAAAAAAAAACCACAAATACAATTCATGATTGCAAAGTGACCAATCTATTCTAAAACCATATTAAGATAATAAAGAATTATGCATGGTCTGCTCTAGTTAAGAATAGATATAAAAATATTTTCCTCCTATATTTACCCATATATAATGCCATATTTAATGTTACATAAAATATAACCCAACACCGAAGGCAACATTAACAGTATTTTGTTAAATAATTTCATTGGCTACCTCCCAAAAAGAGCAGGAATTTCAAATATCTCACATCTCATACATGTCAAGTGCAAGATTGCTTTGACTGCAGATATATTTCTCTATTTATTGTTGAAATGTTATATTGTACAAACACAAATTCTTCTTACATTTAAGGCACCAATGCTTTATGAGGAGTTTGTAAGGATAATGTCAACACAGCCATATCAGTGGCATAAGCAATGTTATAACCACATAATATTTCCTCCTCCCTTTCCTCAAAATTTATTTTACACATTGAGCGTGTGAGGCTATAATTGTTGTCTCTAGAGCTTTTCTGCAAGAAATGGTATTTGTTCAGAAAAAGTCTAGTATACTACGAGATACTTATCAGAATTCGCATATACAGTATGACCCCCATATCCGTGAATGAATACATTCCAAGACACACATGCACAAACCCCACATTGGATACCTGAAATCAAGGATAATAGGAAATCTAATATTTTGACTACACTTAGGCTGAAAGCATAACACAGAATCACAACAAAAGATCTAGAGAGGCCCAAAAACACTTCTGGGAAGGAGTGGTTGGATTTTGGAACATGTGTGCATGAAAGCATAAAGATCAAATCAATGGATAAGAGGTCATACTGAATTAAATACTTTATTCAAAACTTTCCTTCAAGGAGTTTACAACTGGTATACTTGGTATTTTTCTTTATTTAACTTCACCATTACCCTGTTAGGGTAAGAAAGAGTGATAGATGTCCAAAGAGTTTGAACAGCAGCTTAATTGCATTTTCTAAGATCATGTTGGCATGGCTTAGTGCAGACTAGTACAAGCTGGATCTACTTTCCCAATGAAACAGGAAACAAAGAAAACAGTAAGTAATAAATCTCCCTATATTCACCAGAAGTACTTAAAGTACAGTTAGACTGTTAGAAAGTACAGTTAGAAAGTAATAGTGTATTTGTTAAGTTTTGCTGGATGAAGAAAAAGCAACAAAAGGTTAAGAGCTAAAGAAGGAAACAATTAATTTTAGGTGAATGGACTTTCTTCTAAGCAAACAACTTTCAAGGATTTTGGCCACAGGGACGGCCTCCTTCCCTCCACCTCCACTCTAACTTTCACTCTCATACTGACTATATTAAATATCATATAAAATTTGGGGAGGTAAAGATTTCCTTGCATGCAAAAACAACTACAACGAAAAAGCACTGCTATTTTTGCTCTCACATGGGGCTGAAAATTACATTGCTATTGTGTATGTGTGTGTATTTATATTCTCTAGTGGAACTTTCATTTTAATTCTACCATCGATAGACTGAGAAAAAACAGTGCCTCTGGCTCTAGCACAGAAGCAATCTAGGTTATACATAAAATGGGCATTGAACAGCACCATCATTTCCTTTGGCTTCAATTTGCATGCAAAACTATTTTCCCATTTCTGATGAATCCACTCTAGTGTTGACTTGGGAAAAACCACTATATTTAGAGTTAATGAAATCAATGCACCATTCTGTAAACTTGGAAGCGGGGAAAATTATACTGCAGTTCTGGAGTTCAGAAGTTTTAGAGTCAATAGGGTCAGCTCACAATATTATGACACTGCAGATCTTTTAAATTTATATTCTGGCAAGACCTGCCATCTAGGCATCTTAGGGTTCATTTAATTCTGACAACATAAATAAGATGTGGTAGGAGAAAGTAGGAATACCACCTGCACCATTTTATAGTATACATTTCATAGCATGTTTTAAATAATGACAAAATACAAAAATTTATAGGTACGTTAGCTGGAAAGTCAGATCATAAATACTGAATCACATTTGCTGTAGTAGAGGAAATAAAGCTGGTCAGCCATATAATTTTGAAATTGTGCAGGAAAACATTCAAAATCATGGTATGTGTTTTTTTTAAAAAAATACTTACAGTCTGGGCTTGTTTCAAACTCAAATTTGCGGCTGTTGGTCCCATATCCTGCAGCAGTTCGGGCTCTGATTTGGAAAACATACATTGTGTCTGGTTTGAGACCACTGATGGTAACGTTAGTGCTTTTCGCTCTCAGAATGGTGTAACTTGTTTCTTGTTCCTGCTTTAGAAAAGAAAATTGCCACATTAAAAACCAAAGCATTCAAACCTAATAGGAACAGCACATCATTTTTATTTTCATTTACACCAGAGTTTTCTTTATGTTATCCTGGGTGGATAAATAGTATAGAGAGTGGAAGCTAATTGCATTCACACATGGTTGTTATCTTCCTTTCCCAGAATGGTGAAAGGGATTCTACATTTGATGTAATCAGAAATGCCCTTTCTTGGAAATGAATTTTAATATTAAGATGTGTAAATATAGTTATATAAATCTCTCTATCTGACTTCCTTGGAGACACCGAAAGGATCAGATAGTAGAGAGAGTGAGAGAATGAGAGAGAGAGAGAGCAGGATTCATTACCTGTCTCATCCTATGATCAAAACATGAGGACATATGAATGTTTTGTTCCTCTTCCATCCTATATCCTGACCTTTGCTATATGAGACATTTCAGAAAAGAGAAACCTCCCTCAGAGTTTTGCTTCCTGAACAACATGGGGAAAGAGAAAACCAATTAAAGTAGAGTCTTGCTTATCCAGCATAAACGGGCCAGCAGAGTGTCGGATAAGACAAAATGTTGGATAATAAGGAGGAATTAAGGAAAGGCCTGTTAAACATCAAATTACATTTTGATTTTACAAATTAAGCATCAAAACAATATGTTTTACAACAAATGGACAGAAAAGCAGTTCAATACACTGTAATGTTATGTAGTAATTACTGTATTTACAAATTTAGCACCAAAACATTGCAATGTATTGAAACATTGGTGGATACGGGCAGGAGGCAGACTGCATTGGATAATACAGAACGTTGGATGAGTGAAGGTTGGATAAGCGAGACTTTACTGTATAAATCTTCTTAGCACCTTCTCCCTTTATTTTCACTGACATGATTCTGAATATTTTATCCTATTTTGTAAACCAGGAAACATCCAGATCTTGTGGCTGATAAAGAAAAGGCAATGGCAGAATCAAAATGTCCTGTATGCAATATCTGGAAATCATTTAAGTACAGACGCCAATGAAATACCAATTATGAATAGGATATGCAAAGGGAGAAAGGTTACAACCCTCTGATGCTACTCTTAATGAAGAAAAAAACGTACTGGAGATCTAAGTCATGGATACCTCACATGAGATTGGTTCTCATCTTTGCATGACTTTTGCTGCCTAAAATACACCTGAAGGTAAACTATTAATGTAACAAACTTGGCAGTATCTTTTTACTGTGCCTTGACTTATACTGCTTTAAAAGTTAAACCCTAATTTCTAGGAAAATTGCTTAGTTTCACCAGTGATCTGAAAGTATTAGGTCTTAAGTAGTCCTTATGGGCTCAGGGGTACTGTATAGCATTTCTGTAGAGCTGGCCTTTGCTGAATGACCTGATTTCCAACTTCCTAAAACAACAGCTGTTTTCCTTCCCCAGAAGTTAGAAAAGTCCCGGATGGTAGCTATAGGAAATTCAACTACTCACAGTTGTTGACAGAGCTCATGTGAACCTATTTTCTAGTTCAGCTTCTATAGTTTTTATTCATTAATGAAATGAAAACTACAGAAACTACAGTCCCATGAACATTTTCTCAGAAATAGGCCCATCAATATCTAAAGGGACTTACAGTACCTCATAGTAAATATTGGTTGGTAGCCTAAATGTTGAAAGGTGTACTGAATTTACAGTATATAATTTTCCTAGCCTCTTGCACCATGAAAGCTGAGTGTAAGATTTATAATGAAGATATACAACTCTGACTTTGGGCTGCCTTGAATGTTTTGATTCAGTGTTCAGTTTGGTATCATGCATTAGTTTACATCAGAGCAGTTAGAAGAAGTTTGGCTGTAAACTAATGCATTAAGGATAAGAATAGTTTCACTTATTTTCTTAAGATAAGTGTACATTCCATGTATATTATCCATAGGAAGAACATCACACAATAGCCTTATTTGGCCAATAAAGAAAATCATAATAATGGACAAGACATGAGAATGCGCATGCCATCCACGTCACCTCCAATCTTCCCCATGGTTAAATGGAAGGTTGCAAGGAGAAAGTGTTACTAGACTTGACTAAACATGCTTGAAGTCCCTTGTGTTTCGAAAGGGCTTCCAATAACTTAGAGCATTGTAACACTGTTTATGTATTGTCTGTCCCTGTCAATTGTATAGTGGCATTAAATGTTTGACGTATATATGTTCTGTAATCTGCCCAGAGTCCCCTTGAGGAGATAGAGGAAAATATAAATAAAGTATATTATTATTATTATTAATAACATTTAATCAAACATGGCTACTGATTTTCTTAAGACTTTTCTATTCAGTATATGTAGAGTGCACATAATGCACATATTCTTGAAAGTCTCACATGGTTATGATGTTTTTTAAAATGGCTTAAGAACTATGGTGTAATGCCCTTTGTCAGGACAGGATGCTTGGATGTAGCACAAGAATATTGGTGAACTTAATCTTTATTTCTTGCAAATAAGCTTCAAATGTGACAATATGAACATATAAATGTGTCCTTTGGATAAGGCAAGGGGATTCTGATTTTGTAACCTATTTATCCTAATTTAATGTCAAATTTCAGTGGAGGTGATTAGCAGCACATATCTCTAAAGGATTCAAAGTAGCAGGTTTTCTAGTAAAATGAGACAATTATTAGTTTAAATGGCAGCTAAACTTGAATAACTGATCTTCCATGTAAGTTGTTTAGCATTTCACCAGCTGGGCTTATTTAAAAGTATTTGGAAAGGAACCCAGAAGCAAATTGCATGTCCACTTCTTTTCAGCTTCTTACTGTACTATTTCTTAATGAAAGTCCCCTCCCTGACCCCTTTGCTGTACCTTCCCACCTTTTCATAGTACTTGACTTCATAGTCCAAGATGATCCCATTAGGATGCTCTGGTTCTTGCCAAGACAGAGAGACACTGTTCCGAGATGTCCGGTCTTTTCTAATTATTGTAATAGGGGATGGAGCTAGAGTAGCGAGAAAAAGAAGAGGGGAGGAGGGGAGAGAAAGCAAATGGAGTTTATCACTGTTCAAATCCTTGGCAAGAAGGTGATGTTTCCATTTGAAGGCTCCTGAGTATAAACCTGGACCTGCATCAACATTCAACAGCTAGATTATAGTGTTCTTACCCAAGCCTTAAAGCAGGATGGCCTGGATGAAAATGAGTTAGACGTTCCATTGCTTGCAGACTGGTGGCAAATGAGCAGATGTTTCTAATCTGCTACTATAATGTAAGCAATACAATACATTCGATATATTAAAAGTGAATCAAAATAAATAAAGTAAGGGAGAGTTTTGGCTATTTATTATGATGTTGAAGCATTATTATTACCAGATTCTGTAACTCATTGATAATGTTTTCATATTTCAGGCATACAACAGGACTGGAATCTATTACGGGCAAAGAGTCCCAGGAGTCCCATTGTTATTAGCAATAATCAGTGTAGTGTTTAATGTATATCTTTCCATAGCATTTCTTAAGATTCCCCCCAATGCACATCAACCTTCTACTATGATCTTAACAGTATTATTTGGGGTTTGCACAGATGATTTTGCTTAGATACTAATATTATAAAGCAACAAAATATGATGCAATTAATGCACTATCATTTATGTTCAGAAACTGGGAAAATCACCCTGTCTAAGAAAACTATATGAAATTCAAAGGATTCCATAAGTCAACAGGTGGCTTGAAGGTACAGGCATATATATACACATATATCATCTGCAGTCAACACCTGCTTTTTTCAGATTCAAGCTCAAATACATGATAAAAATTATAATAAGATTGCTCTCATATTTTATCCAGATAAGAATAAATAATCTTGTTTAACTGTATACATAATTGTAGCACCACCAATATTTCAAATAGAGTTGACCATTATTTGTGGGCTTGTCACTCCTTAACTTTGCCCCCTTCTCCCCTCAATCTCCTGACCTTCCAACAGTGCCAGTCAAATTTTAAACTATCAGCAATCACCATGTCCTGGTCCATTTCCTCCTCCTCCTCCTATCCTTCTAACAGCAAGAATCAGATTTTAAGATTCCATTTCAGATCATTGACCTCTGTTGAAAAACCTCCTGTGCACTGAACTAGAAGGGGGAAATTTCACCAACTGGATCTGTGTTTATTATAGCTTCCAACTTGAATGGATCCAGGGAATTTTATTTGACCAGCACATAATAGTTAGTGGTCTAGATTCTACCTTACTCGCCAACAAATAAGAAAACCCAGACCACTCAAAACAGCTGTGCTGGCTTGCTAAGGAAATAGATACACTGGAGGCAGAGAAAATTGTTTCTGTCCACATTAGCTCAAAGTAGGCCCTCAGACAAATGTTAGTCTGTGTTCGATCTGAGTTTTCCTGTTCTGAGTTTTCTGCTGTAGTTGCCTTCTCTGAACTCCATGAGAGGGAACATTCAGGAGAGATTGTGTCCACATTATTTGTCCAGGATAATGAAACTACAGACAGTTCCTCTACTCCTATATAACCACCATGTTATTCTGCACAGAAAATGAGGATCAGTGTGTGCCTGGTAATATGAATATGGACTGATACTGCTCATAACTCTTCAGCCTGCAGGTTTTATATCCCAATAGTTACTAAAATACTCTAAGGACCCCAGATCTCATTTGATTTTGGAAACTAAGCAGCAACCATGGCTAGTTTTCAGATGGGAGACCACCAATGTAAAACAGGGGTTGAAGGCAATATTTCAGAGGAAGGAACTGGCAAAACCCTATTTGAACAGATGACCTGAAAGTACATATAAATACACACAAGGTATTTTACATACATGCAATTCACATCTGTTTCCCCTTTCCTCCTTTTTAGTTCTGTATTTATCAGACATTTCAAATGCAGGACCTGTGTAATGATAGCTATCATTGAAATATTTATGTTATAATTTTACAAGTAGTTTTTCCCCACTGGTAGTAGTAATACTTTAAAGTGAATCAATGTAATGCTGATAGCTTAAACTACTAATGATAGTCGCAGCTTAAAATTAGTGAAAATGTTTTTAAAGAATGTTCAGTTTCTCTGTGTTTATTATCTATGACTCACAAATGATGTTAACTACTTGATTAATAATGTATCAGTTATATATTCAGAATGGTTTTCCTCCTCAAGGGCCTAGAGTACACCACCTTAGAAAATACCAAAGCTACAGCAGCATGCTTTCTTTGGCATATATGGCAGGCTGCACAGCAATGTAGATGGAGCAGAATAGGAAATTCACTGACCTTTATTCATTAGACTTAAGCTTAAAGCGCAAAACACAAAAAGAGGATTTGAAATATTTTTTTTTAATAGGAAGTTCTGGAGTTTGGCTTAAAATAAAATACAGCTATACACTTGATTGAGTAATAATCTCATTTTAAATACCAGCTATTATAAAAGAAGTGTCTAGTGATGGTTTTGCGAATAATTTTGACTCATTATTTTGTATGCATACATAGCCCATGTTCCTGTGCTTGATAGTACTTGATTATTGAGATATTTTTATATAGAGATTGGCTGGTGTTTCAGCGAGGGGCAGCTGGAATAGGATTGGGTATTCATCCAAACTAGCCAAACTGCTGAACTCATTTTGAAGGATTGTTTCAACACCATGAATAGCTCATTTACAGGTCATATTAATAATCTGAGCAAATTTACTGATCTACTGACATGAAATCCACCTGCTGTCAGAGATACAGTAGATTCACTGGTTGTCTTTAAACTAATCTCTGCCCAGTCATTGCTATTGGCTTCCATGAGTGTTGTAACCTTCTCACATTTTCATCTAGGCACCAGAAATTGTAATACTACTTGCATGTTGTTGGGAATAGTATACTGAAGATTGATGTGCACATAGCAACTACACATGGATGATGGTCTCAAAGCCACACTAATAAAGCTAATAAAATCATTCCACATCATAATTGAAAACAATACAACAGAATTGGGGAATGTTTGCCCTCCACCTAGACACTGATGAACTGTATCTCCAAATTGCCTTAGTGAAGGCAGCTTGGAAATATAGTCTCCAGTAGTGAAGGATGATGGAAATTGCTGTCAATATCTGGAGGATTACATGTTCTCAATCCCTGAAGTCATTAATAAAAGAATCTTAAATCAGAACTTAAATAGCACAGTACTTAAGAACAAAATATACATTGTATTAATGGCAAAATGGGATCTAACAACAACAACAACAGCATCACCGTTTTATTACTTGTTACCTTTCTCTTCTCACTGTTCAAAGTGGGGTACAACATAATTAAACTACACATATAAAATATAATACCATTAAAATCAAATCAAAGATGAATACCAATACAAATAAAATGTAAAGTTAAAGTTCATAGATTAAAATTTATTGGGTAGTCTTAAATTTTGATAGCTCATTTAGCTGTCAAATCTCTGCTGGCAGGTCTTTTCACACTCTGTGGGTGGCCAATGAGATGGTCTTCTGGGTGACAGTTGCTTGTTGGGTTCTGGCTGATTGGAGTAAATGACCGCCAGAGGACCTAAGTGCATGGGCCGGATTATGCAAGAAAAGGCAATCCTGTAGGTAACCTGAACCCAGACCATGTAGGGCTTTAAAGGTCACACTTTGTATTTATTTATTTATTTATTTATTTATTTATTTGCGGTATTTATATACCATCCTTCTCAACTCCGAAGGGGACTCAGGAGGGTTCACAGTGTTAGCAACAATTCAATGTACTTCACCTGGAAACAAATCAGCAACCAGTGGAGATATTTTAGTATAGGTGACATATTCATGTAACCAATCTGGCTGCCATGTTTTGAATTAATTGGACTTTACAAATTTGATATAGAGGTTGCCCAATGTATAGTTCAACCCTGGGGTTACCAGCACATGCACTACTATCTTTAGGCATTCTAATTTTAGGAATAGGCATAGCTGGCATATCAAATGAAGTGGGTAATATGTACTCCTGACTGTCACATCTATCTGATTTGATCTGATAAACAATGTTAAGTGAGTTCCAAGATCTTCACACACATGTAGTTTGGCCTTAAGCATTTTAGCTGCTGCTTTACACACTGTACTCTGTTAAACTATTTCATTCCTTTTGTGAGTTCCTTGAATGCAAGAGACATGAAGAAGCCTAGCTTTTCCAGAGTTCTATATCTCAGGAAGCTCCTCTATTGTTAAAGAAACATACCCTGTAAACACTCAGCGACCCTCAAAATACAGAGGAAATGGAACAGTGACAAGGTAGAGCTACTACATCTGTCCCCTTTTTCTACCTCACACTTTGAATCTAAACAACTGTAGTATTTGCAGAGAAATTTCAGGAGTGAATTATGCAGTATTAGTTTCTAAACAAACATATGGATAGGATATCCCACACAAATGATAATAGACAAATATACAAGAGACAATAAAATAGAAGAATGCAGTGGAATGTAAAGTGTAAGGTTTTTAGTTCCCACTAAGCTGGAAATGATGTTCTTTTTGTGTTTCCCCATACAAATATTGGAAACGCAGAAATCTATGCTCTATTCCACAGAGTCTTCACATTTTCAAGAATTGTTGTATGTAACCTTTGGAGTAACAATGCTCCAGTTTATAATGCAAATATTTATTTTAATTACAGGCCCTTTGGATCTCAAAGTTATGAAGCTGAGGGAAATCTGTAATGAAAATGTGGTAAGTCCATCTTAATATACCAGCTGTTCAACTGGAAAATGAACATTAGAAAACATACTCCTTTTTGGCAAGGCTATGTATGAAATATAACCCATTTAACTAACATTGATAGGCTTTCTCCAGGATGCTTTCCCCCCTTAAAAGGCAGCCATAAAGAATAGACTACATTCTCACCTTTATGTAACAGTCCCTGCAGACTACATAAGAGATACTGAAAAGACTGGGATTTTGGATGAAACTTGCATTGCTGTCCTTTGTGGACAAATTGATGATTACATTGAATTTATCTTGGTCAAAC